CGCTGCCGCCGTTCTACATCCTCGTGTACGTCGACGACTTGGTCTTTGCCACTGCTAACACTGATGCTCTCGCTCTGGTGAAGTCGGAGCTGCAGAAGAGACACACGTGCACAGACCTGGGTGAACTGCGCAGCTACCGTGGCTTGCAGATCACCCGGGACAGAGCACACCGCACCATCACACTAACTCAGTCACACATGGTGCAGCAGGTCCTTCAGCGCTTCGGCTTCACCTGGTCCTAAGCACAGGCCACTCCTGTAGCTATAGGTCTCTCGCTCTCAGCTCTGCCTTCGGATGAGTCTGTAGAGCCGAGTGGTCCTTACCCAGAGCTAGTTGGTTGCCTCATGTACCTGATGACTTGCACTCGTCCTGACCTAGCATACCCTCTTGGCTTTCTGGCTCGCTACGTGGCTCCTGGCAGGCCCCGAAAGGTGCACTTGGATGCTGCAAAGAGGGTATTGCGCTACTTGTGCAGTACATCGGGCATGGGGCTCGTGCTTGGAGGAGGGAGCTCAGTTGTTCTCACTGGGCACTCAGACGCTTCCTGGGTTGATGACCAGGCTACTCAGCGGTCGTCACAGGGTTATACCTTCAACCTTGGCTCTGGTTAAGGTTCTTGGCGTTCTACGCGTTTGTCTTCTGTTCTCAGCTCCAGTTGTGAGGCTGAGATCTACGCCACAGCCATGGCTGCACTGGCTCACTTACCTACTGTTCGACTTGGGAGAGCAGCCTAGTTCTCCTCCAATGCTGTACGTCGACAACAAGGCTACCATTGTCTTGTGTGAGGAGCACAGATTGGAGCACAGAACGGAGCACATCACTCTCCATTACTTTCTGGTTCGAGAGCTGTTGCAGCGCGGTGAGCTTCGTCTGCGTTACGTGGCCACTCAGGCCAACACCGCTGATATATTCACCAAGGTACTTCAGTCTGGTGATCATCAGCGTTTCTGCACTTTGCTAGGGCTTGTGCCTTCTCTTGCTCACTTGCTGTAGGCTTTGCCTGTACTGTGATCTCTCTATATATATACCTGCCTGTTTGCTTTGCTAGGTTGAGATCACCTTGCTGTTTGTGTTGCATATATGCCTCTGCATGTGAACTGGCCCTGAGGCCCTTTGCTTGTGCTCAGAGTCTGTGGTGACGTTGTGATCCACCCTGAGCTTGTTTGCCTTTCTTGACTGGTCTTGTGACCCCTTGCTCTCCCCCACTTTGCCTATGGAGGTATGTCAAACACTATATATGTGTTATTGTTGTGTAGGCTATAGTGGGTTAGCCTTTAGGGGGTACACAACTTTAGGGTTTCATACTTGTACTGCAATGTTTTGTAGTTCTATCACTTCTTGATCCTGACAATCACGATCGAGTAAAATGTCAGTTTCGTCGAGGGTTGTCGCGAGCATTTCCTGACTAAACGTGAAGTTACCCCCGCATCGAATCCGAACCCAGTCTACGTGTTCCCGTATCGCCAGTGGCGTGCCGTCGACCAGTTTTGCGTCGATCTCAGGTAAACATATGTCGAGTGGCAGTCTCAGTTTCCGTCCTGTGGCAGTATTGATGAGGTTATGGCTGGCTCCCCCATCTACGAATATTTTAATTATGTCCATCCCGATTTTCCCACAGAGCAGTATGAGGCTGTCTACCGTAGTACCCTCCTTATTCGGCCGGGTGTGGTCGATTGCGTTAACAGGCACAATCACTCGGCGAGGGTTGGTTGGGTCGGGCGAGCGGTGCATGGTTTGGTGAAATAGTGCGCATAAAGTCGGCGAACAACAGCTGCTTCTCTATGCGATGTTGCAGGATGCTCTAAGGAATGTCGAGAAAATTTCTTACACACTCTTTCTCGCTACACTGGCAATGGGATTCACTGACTACAGTGCGTACTGTTGCTTGGAACGTAGCGGTCTGATTTTTATAACCGAACTGCAGGTAGGTGACGGGCAAATGCTCTCCTGGTGAACGGTACACAACGGTTTTCAAAAGGAAACTTGCTTAGGCGTACGGTTGAGTGCAGACAAACATGCTTATATGGTACGTTCTGGGACCAGGGCTGTCGATTGGTCTGGGCCCAACCTGTACGAAGCCGAGCTGCCTCGAAAACAGCCCTGAGCTTTCCGAGAAGCGAACGTAAATTCAAGGCATTCACATTTCCGTTATGAGAATGCATGCGTAATAAAACATAGTTATCCAAGCTCGACATACACTAAAGAGTAGAGTACGCTAAGGGAACGTGGGGGGCTGGTGTTGTTGGGGGGAGTGGGAGAGGGACAGTTCGCGGTCTAAGGTCAGGAAGAAAGGAGAGGGGGGGGGGGGGGGGGGGGGGGGGGGGGGGAAGGGGGGTGGCTCTTACGGGAATCCGGGGAGCCCCAAAACCTGTCCATTAGAAATCCGGCTAGGGAAAAACCAACCCTGAAAATTTTCGAGCTAAGCTGAAACTAACCTTGAATTCTCAGGGAAAACGGACAAATGTCCGTGAATCGACAGGCCTGTCTGGGACCATCCTGGACGCATTGATGTCTGGGAAAAGATCAACCAGATGCCGAACAGTGCCGGAGGGGTGATCAAAGTAGGCCCGGTAAATCTCGACCGTATGATTTCAACCCAGAGCTGCCCAAACGACTAGGCGAACAAGCCGAACCGTGAGTGAAAGAGATTTGCTGGACGAACCGAATTGTGTACTCATTTTATTTGTTTAGGGTTTTGACCCCCGTCTACTACAGCGTGCGCGTAGCGTTCTTCTGGAAGTAAAATCAGGTGTGTCAAATCGTGAGTACGTATAACATATTATATTATGGGTGATACATATCACCTAATCGATCATAAATGCACAGGAAAATAATAGATTACCCATTCGGAAACGGATGCGGCTTGGGAGTCATCAACCCCAAATACCAGGAAGGTTTCCGTTTTTAGGGTTGATTCGTCCAGATAATGCATCCAGGGTCTCTATGAGTTTTCGTTTTTTTGGCTGCCCTAAGAGTTCCCACTAGAGTCGGTTCGCTAAACGACACGCGAGCGAAAATGCGAGCCTGTATATGGCCCTAATAACACAATTACGGGCCTCTTGGTCCCTGATTGATCATCCCTCTGGCACTGTTCGGCCCCTCGTTGATCTTTTCCCTTGATGCCTGCACATCCGATCAACCAGTATAGCCAATGACAGTGTGGCGCGAAACAAGGTGTATCAAGAATAGAGATCACGCATGTGGCCAGTAGTGAGGAGCTTCCACTGGGAATCCATTCAAACATGTACTGTAGAATGCCATTTTCTGGCCGCACGTGGGATCTGCGTACACATGGGAGATCGAATACCTCATTTTCGACTGTGGTGCAGCTCCGCAGGTCGTTGAGGCAATCCAACGAACGGCAATCCCTGCGACTGTTGAGGTTTGACGAGCAGGGTCGACCTTCGCTCCATCCCTCGCTGGGTTCACTCATGGTTCCTGGTCAACGTTTATTGGCCTCCGTAAAAGTCTCCCCGTTTTCAATCTTGGGCGCGGTGCTACCATACCTGTGGGTTAGGTGCTGTTCGGTCACAAATAGGCAATTACAGATGTTGCGGGTTAGAGGCTTTCACTAATAGATTCTCTTTTCCTCCCTGAGTAGAATTTTCCGATATCGCCTATGGCTAGCCCGACCCCTATAGTCCCGTTTTTGGCGGGAAATATTGCAGCTTGACCGAATCATTGCACGATTCAGCTCCGCAGCCAATCAGAGGCTCCGTATCGAACCAGCCCCAACATTCATGGAGAACGATGAAGAAGGGATCATCGATTCGATATTAGAACTTTTAAATTGCAAAGTTATTGTTTCTCTTGACCGCGACTACTTCTCAATCCGGTCGCGCTGTCTCCAGCGCGATCGACGATGACATCTCGTTTACCTCGCTTACTGGGTAGAAAAGAAGTTTTTGGGTTACTACTCGACCCCCAAATCATAGTTTATTTTCGTTTTTTTTTACCGTTAGTCATTCGACATTGATCAGCGTGGAAAACCGTGCGACTGGAAGTTAATGCAAGCGCGGTCCAAATCTACGTAAATGCCGCATTCCAGAAAATAGTAGCAAATTAACCACTCTACATGCAGTTTTTTCCTGAACGGGACTATAAGTATCGTGCTTGCCTGGGGTTCGAAGGTCTTGCCACATAGTCCACGCGCGGCGATGTTGATCCATTGGACTATAAACAAAAACATTTGTACTAATGCTGTTTAGCATAGGCCCTTTCGGCTTTGGTGCCTAAGCCATAAATTGTGTAGGCACTGTACAATGGTTACGACCACGCTGCCTTGGGAATGTCGATGTCCGAGAGTTGTCTCCTGTGGTCATACTCTGTTCAGCCACACGGCACACCTCACTTCATTTCAGTTTTCCTGGGTTCCTTACCATGTCAGAAGAATATGGATCTTTACCTGCAGCACTTACCCTCATGGTAGCCAGGTGATTTGGCTAAAAGACGCTGACAGCTAGTAGCTCGCTCATGCGTAAACCTTGTAGCATTATGGATGACGATAAAATGGCGACACGCCAGAGCACGAAATTCCGGTCAATTCTCTTGCGACACTCGGTCATTCTCAGGTCCAGAAGCAGCAGCATTTTTACATCATTAGACCCTTAAAAAGCTGACCTTCGTCATGCCTCAGAACCCTCAGAACATCGCAGTGCAACGCCTGCCAGACATGCTCGGGCCTTCGTTTCTTCAAGCAGTGGTAAATCAACGAGCCGTTGATTCAACGCTGAGCTCTTGCGATCAGTCCTTGCAGGAATCGCGGGAAGGAATTAAGGCACAGAATGGCGGCTCGGCGCTTCCATCTCCGCGTCGCGCAGCACCGCTTGCTAAGAGTCCACGCGGGTCCGCGTCGCTCAACGATCTCAGCTCCCCCCGATTGCGGATTCCTAAGTCGCCACATCGTCGGACGGTCTCTCAGCAACTCACCTTTCCGGTCGACGTTCTTAAATCACCATGTCGGACGGTTTCGCAGCAACTTACCTTTCCGAATGACCTTCCTAAACCACCACACGCAGCCCTTCCGCGCACGGCGTACGGCGGCGCGCGCAAAACCACCCCGCGCAGCCAATCCGCGCGAGCTTGGCAAGCGAGCGGCGATAAGATTGATTTGAAGGGAGGCTTCTTGAGTGAGGGAATAACGGCGGGGAAGAGTGACGGGAGAGCGAAGGGGGAACAGAAGGAGTGGGGGGAATGGCTTCCGGTGAAGCAGCAGCAGCAACAGCAGCAGCGGCGGCGGCCGTGGCAGAAGGAACTGGTTCCAGAAAGCTTCGCGGATCAAAGAATTGATCCTAGCCGTAGTCTTGGCGAAAAGAACGATCCCCTGCGCGCCGATGGAGATTCGAAGTGTGCCAACCAATGGCATTCCGCCATCGAGCAACGTCCACCTGGCGATCTTTTGTCCGAATGGAGGAGGGAAGGAAGGATGGAAGGGAGTAGGGGGAGAAGGGAAGGGAGTAGGGAGGGCAGTAGGGAAGAGAGGAGGGAGGGGAGTAGGGAAGAGAGGAGGGAGGGAAGGAGGGAAAGGAGTAGGGAAGGGAGTAGGGAAGGGAGGAGGGAAGGGAAGAGGGACGGGACGAGGGAAGGGAAGAATGATGAGGTGAGAGAACCGAAGAGTCCGTTGAGGGCGAAGGTGGGAAAGAAGAGCAAGGAGAAATGGGTCAAGGAGGACAGGAAGGACAGGCAGGGCAGGGACGCCTGGCAGACGAAGGGAGAGGAGAGAGGTGGAGGGAGTGGGGGAGCGAAGGATGGATGGGCGGTAGCCGGGAGGAAAGAAAGGAGGGAGGACGGAGGAGAGGAGGGGAAGGAAGAAGCGGCGGAAGGGAGGAGGAACGCAGGGGCAGAGGAAACGAAGGATGATGGAGTTCACAGAAGGCTTTCGTTAACCGCTGCTTGGTCGAATGGCTCCACACCTGAGTCGACTCACAAGTCAACAACGGAAACTCAAGATTCAAAAAAGGATACCCTTGAGTCAACAACACAAACTCAATATTCAAACGAGGAAACCCATCCATCAACAGAGGAAGCTGGGGATGACTCAGTTCACAGACGGCTCTCATCAGCCACTGCTTGGTTAAGGTCCCCTCCTGAGTCGACTCACAAGTCAACAACGGAAACTCAAGATTCAAAAGAGGAAACGCATGATTTAAGAGAGGAAGCTGGGGATGATTCAATCCACAAAAGGCTTTCGTTCACCACTGCTTGGCTGGGCTCGCCTGGGGAAACTGCAGCATTGGCAGGTGGTGCAAGTGGTGTGGCAGCGGCAGCAGGTAGGGTGGCAGCAGGTGGAGTGGCAGCAACAGCAGGTGGGGTGGCAGGAACAGCAGGTGGTGTGGCAGCAACAGCAGGTGGAGTGGCAGCAACAGCAGGTGGGGTGGCAGCAACAGCAGGCGGAGTGGCAGCAACAACAGGTGGAGCAGCAGCGGTTGCCGAGGAGGAGTGTCAAGACTCCTTGATCTCGTGGCTGACTCCTCAAATCACGCCCACCAAGCTACAGCAGCAGCAGCAGCAGCAGATCCCCTCAGCCCATCCGCCCGCCTCCTCCTCTCAGCCTTCTGCTGCTTATCTGCTGTGGCAAATCCAGTCTCAACACCCGCTTGCCCTCCAACCCTCTTCCGCTCAACCTTCCCCCTATGCTTCCCTTCACGCTTTCCCACAGCAGCCGATCAGCCCCCCCCAAGCCAGCCCCAGCCCTCCTCAGATGCACCTCCCCCAGATCAACCCGTATGGAAACACCTCAGATGAACATTCCTCAGATCAAACCTCCCTAGATGAACCCTTCCCGGATCAACCCTCGTACATCAGGGGGTATCGATCCTTCCACCTGCCTCCACCTCCCTACATAGCAGATGCCTCCCTGCCCAGGCACATGCACATGCACAAACACATGCCGATACCTATTCCCGTAGCCATGCCCATGCCCGTACCCATGCCCATGCCCAGGTCCACTGTACTCTCACCTCCCCTCTATCCTCCCTCACATCATGCGTTGAACCCAGGATCTTCCTCCTTTTGGTCTCTACACCCCGAATCTCCTCACCTCGGGTCTCCAAACGCTTTCCTGTCAACTCATGAATTGCCCGACCCCCCATCCCCTCATTCACTCTCCCCTCACTCCCTCTCTTCTCCCCACGCCCAAACTGCACACCTTTCCTCCTCGCTCCTCCCCCGAACCCTCCCTTTCCACCCTCGAATCCCCTATTCACACTCCTGCCCAGACTTTCCCTCCTTCGCCTTCCCGCTCTCCCCAGCGTCTCCCTCCCTGATGCTGCAGAAAGTGTGGGATGCAGAGGGGGCATGTGATAGCAGGGATTCTCAGGGGGACCTGTATGGGCTTGTTACGCCACTTGCTGAGGACTTGCACGAGTCTTGGCCTCCTCCTCCTCCTCCTCCTGCTGCTGCTGCTGCTGCTGCTGCTGCTGGGGGTAGCAAGGCGCTTAGCGAATCCATCCCTGCTGCTGCTGCTGAGGATAGGGAGTCGCTGAGAAAGTGCAAGCCTCCTGCTGCTGGGGTTAGTAGTAAAGGGAGTGTGAGGGGGATTGAAGGAGAAGAAAGAAGTGAGGAGGCAAAAGGGGAGGAGCACCAGGATGAAAGGAAGGAGGAAGATGGGGATGAGGCTTTACACGTGTGTATGCCTTTGGGGAGTGATGTGGTAAGAAACTGGGTGACTGATTACCAGAAGCAGCAGCAGCAGCAGCAGCAGCAGCAGCAGCAGCAGCAGCAGCAGCAGCAGCAGCAGCAGCAGCAGCTACACCAGCAACAGCAACAGCACACCGCTCATTCTGCCGTTCCTGCCACAGAAAGGGGATGCTTCAACTTCAGTGCGAACGCCACTATGGGTGCTTCTACCGCCCTCGCCTTACACCCTTCAATGCAGGCCTCTCCCCACCCTCCCCACCCTCCCCACCCTCCCTTCAGCTTCTTCCGCCCTGACCTGATCAGTCCTAGGAGCAACAAAAAACCCTCCATGGATCTCCCGATTCCCCTCGTTCACTACCCTACCGACGCCTCCTCTTCCTCCTCCTCTTCCTCCTCCTCTTCCTCCTCCTCTTCCTTCTCCTCTTCCTCCTCCTCTTCCTCCTCCTCTTCCTCCTCCTCTTCCTCCTCCTCTTCCTCTTCCTCTTCCTCCTCCTCTTCCTCCTCCTCTTCCTTCTCCTCTTCCTCCTCCTCTTCCTCCTCCTCTTCCTCCTCCTCTTCCTTCTCCTCTTTCTCCTCTTCCTCCTCCTCTTCCTCCTCCTCTTCCTCCTCCTCTTCCTCCTCCTCTTCCTCCTCCTCTTCCTCCTCTTCCTCCTCCTCTTCCTCCTCTTCCTCCTCCTCTTCCTCCTCCTCTTCCTCCTCCTCTTCCTTCTCTTCCTCCTCCTCTTCCTCCTCCTCTTCCTCCTCCTCTTCCTACTCCCTCTCCTCTCCTTCTGCATCCCTCCCAACCCCCTCCCCTTCCTCCACCTCTTGTCACCGTCCTTGCCCATTCCGGCCATCTCTCTCCATCGTACCTCCCTCCCTCTTCACCGAACCCAACTCCTCTCTATCTTCCTCCTCCACCACTTCAAATGATGCTGCAGCTCTCGCCAGTCCAGCCCCCGCTCCTGCCTCTGCATCACCACCATCTTGCATAGGGGTGAATGACCCTCACACGCAAACCGCTCCCCTACCTGGCGCGCCCTCACCTGGCGCGCCCTCACCTGGCGCGCCCCTTTCTCCCCCACCTGGCGCGCCCCTTTCTCCCCCACCTGGCGCGCCCCTTTCTCCCCCACCTGGCGCGCCCCTTTCTCCCCCACCTGGCGCGCCCCTTTCTCCCCCACCTGGCGCGCCCCTTTCTCCCCCACCTGGCGCTCCCTTTTCTCCCCCTCTTGGCGCTCCCTTTTCCACCTCCTCTGCTCCCACCGTTTCTCCCCCCCCTGGCGCCCTCCATTCGCCCCGTCCTCCCCCCTCTCCAACCCATGGGGCTAGATTCCATGTTGCTCGAGCCTCGCCACGTGGCAGAAGAAGATTGGCCTTGGATGTACCGGCTTGTGAAAGCCCAGAGAGTGATGGCACACCTAGGCCGCCCATGGCAGGTACACCTAAGGGAGGTGCACCCAAGGTAGGTACACCTGAGGCAGGTACACCCAAGGGAGGGGCACCCAAGGCTGGTACACCTAAGGCATGTATACCTAAGGCAGGTAGACCCAGGGTAGGTACACCCGAGGGAGGTAAAGCTGAAGAAGGCATACCCAGGGTAGGCACACCTAGGGCATGTCCGCCTCTTTCAGGCTCCTCCACTCCTAAAAGCAGTCCTGCTGCTGCTGCTCCTCCTGCTGCTGCTCCTGCTGCTGCTGCCGCTGCTGCTGCTGCTCCTGCTGCTGCTGCTGCTGCTGCTGGTCGTGGTGGTGCTGCTGCTGCTCCTGCTGTTGCTGCTGCTGGTGGTGGTCCTGGTGCTGCTGCTGCTTCGGTTGCTTCCAAGAGTGGAGCTTCAATTCCTAGGGCACGGAGCCAAGGAGCTATATCCTTTAAAGCCAGTGACTCGTTTAGAGTAAGAGATGGTACAGGACAGCAGCAGAAGGCTGATCATGTTACATTGGGGGAGAGCACCAGCATTAGCCCCACTGTGCTCCTTGCTCATGAGTGTGGGATTCGTGGTGGTGCTGCTGTTGGTGCTCGTGCTGGTGCTTCTGCTGTTGGCGCTTGTGCTGGTGCTTCTGCTGTTGGCGCTCGTGCTGGTGCTTCTGCTGTTGGCGCTCGTGCTGGTGCTTCTGCTGTTGGTGCTCGTGCTGGTGCTTCTGCTGTTGGTGCTCGTGCTGGTGCTTCTGCTGTTGGTGCTCGTGCTGGTGCTTCTGCTGTTGGTGCTCGTGCTGGTGCTTCTGCTGTTGGTGCTCGTGCTGGTGTTGCTGCGGCCACAACTCCGAGGGGTCATAGGCGAGCCAAATCAGCAGTGGCTTTTGGGATGGTTGACTGTATGGAAGTGTCGAGTAGGGTGGCTGCTGGTGCTTCTGCTGTTACTGGTGCTGTTACTGGTGCTGCTGGTGCTTCTGCTGTTACTGGTGCTGTTACTGGTGCTGTTACTGGTGCTGTTACTTGTGCTGCTGGTGCTTCTGCTGTTATTGGTGCTGTTACTGATGCTGCTGTTGCTTCTGCTGGTACTGGTGCTCGTGGTGGTGCTGCTGCGGCCACAACCCCTAGGGGTCATAGGCGAGCCAAATCAGCAGTGGCCTTTGGGGTGGTTGACTGTATGGAAGCGGCTGAGGGGAGAGGAGGGGAGAACGGGCGGGAGAGAGGGGAGGGTAGTTGGGCGAAAAGGGAGAGGAAGAGGGAAGGTGAGAGGGAGCAGGTGAGGGAGAAGGAGGGGGAGAGGGAGATGGAGAGGGAGAGGGAGAAGGAGAGGGAGAAGGAGAAAGAGAAGAAAGAGCAGGAGAGGTGTGCTTGGAAACGGAGGGTTGTGGATGAGTGGGTGTCACGGTTGACTCCCTTGAAAGGCTTGGATGAGGGGGATGAGGGGAATGAGGGGGGTGGTCAGGACGGGGAGAGAGTAGCAGTGGTACTGATGGGGAATGTTGCAGACAAGGTTAAGAATCGAATTCCCAAAACTCCTGGTGAAGGCACCACAGGGAGAATGCAAAACAGCCCCCGAATGCCAAGGGAGGAGCAGGGCAGAAGTCCCCGAGTTAGGAGAGCGGAGGAGGACGGAGCTACTTTCGAGTCGACTCGATTGGGAATGCGAAGCAGCCGTAGAATGCCAAGGGAAGCTCAGGGCAGAAGTCCCCGAGGTAGGATAGGGGAGGAGGACGGAGGGAGGGAGCCTTTTGAGACGACTCAAAAGATGCGAAGCAGCCCTAGAATGCCCAAGGAAGAGCAGGGCACAAGTCCCGGAGTTAGGAGAGGGAAGGAGGACGGAGGGAGGGAGCGCAGGAGGAACAACCAACGAGGCGAAGCGAGCTTCGGGGAGAAAGAGGGTGGGGGAGGAGAAGAGGAAGAGGGAGGGTGTACAGAGAAAGCGAGAGGAGGGGGGCGAGAGGAGGCAGGCGAGCAGCAGAAGCAACGCGCAGAAGCAAAGGAGAAGGAGAAGAACGTACCGAAAGAAAGTGCCATGGCACGGAGCAAGCAGCGGAGCAAGCAGCGAAGCAATGGGAAGGTATACACCATAATGCGGTGCACAGAGGAGCTCTTTGCCACCGGTGGTCCTAGCCAGGTGGTATTCTCCCCTGCCAACCGCCCTGCTGGGTCCGTTGTTGTGTCTAAGGCTTGCGGCGCTCTCACTCCCGGCCGTTCCCAAGGGAAGTCTGGCAGGACCTCATTCCGGGCAGCTGAGAAAAGTTTTCTGCCGGAATTTGAGACGACGGTGCTGGATCTGAAGCTGGATTTGAAGGCAGCAGGGGCTGCTGCTGCTGCTGGTGGTGCTGCTGCTGCTGGTGGTGGTGCTGCTGCTGCTCCTGCTCCTGCTGCTGGCGCTGGTGCTAATATCGCAACCTCGAGCAAAAGAAGCCAGGGAGGAGAAGGCCTAAGGCGGAGCCCCAAGGAGCGAAGAGGGTTTTCCGATGGCGACCTCAGCATTGACCTGGGCGTTGACTTTAGCAGGCACCTGGTTGACCTTCAAGGGGACCTGGTCAGCACGCCTGGCAAGGAGACGCGAGAGAAAGGGAGGCGGGTGGGGAAGGAATGGGCAGGGGAGGGGGCGAGGGAAGGGGAGAAGGAGGAGAGGGAGGCGAGGGAGAAGGAGAGGGGGAAAGAGTGGGAGAAGGAGAGGGAGAAGGAGTGGGAGAAGGAGAGGGAGTGGGAGAACGAGAGGGAGAGGGAGAAGAGCAAAGCTGGTAACGATTCGGCTTTGGGGGCACCTGATAACAGTCAGAGCAGCATCTTAGGCAGCAGCAGCAGCAGCGACCAGAGCAGCAGGAAGCAAAGCCTGATCATCAGCCCGATACGAATCGAAATGCCTGTCTCTCCCCATACGCCTCCTGCCTCCTCAGGCTTTAAAGCCAGCTTCTTATCAAGCATGCTGTCTCCGAGGGGAATCATAGGCTCCTGGCGGCTCCCTAAAGTGGGGCTTTTAGGCGGGGAGATTTGCTCGCTGCAGGAGCGGTACTTAGTTGAGCAGGAGATTGGGAGCGGGTCGTATGGGATGATCCGGGCTGTGAGGGAGAAAGAGACGGGCAAGACGTGGGCGTGCAAGAGCATTGGGAAGGATCAGATTCAGGTGCGTGTGTGTGTGTGTGTGGGGGGGGGGGGGGGGGGGGGGGTGTGGGTGTGTGTGTGTGTGGGTGTGTGTGTGTGTGTGTGTGTGGGTGTGTGTGTGTGTGTGGGTGGATGTTGGTGGGTGGGTGTAGGTGTGTGTGTGTGTGTGTGTGTGTGTGGGTGGATGTTGGTGGGTGGGTGTAGGTTTGTGTGTGTGTGTGGGTGGATGTGGGTGGGTGTGTGTGTGTGTGGGTGTGGGTGTGGGTGTGTGTGTGTGTGTGTGTGCGTGTGTGTGTGTGCAAGTGTGCGCGCGCATGTCCATACGCGTGTGCATGCGTGCACGTGCATGTGCGTGCATTCATGCGTGTGTGCCAGCATGCATGCATGCATGCGTAGGCGTCGATGATGGGCCCATGGTTGTGTTGCATGAATGCATGCATGCATAGGCGTCGGTGCAGGCGCAGGCGTGGGCCCATGGTCGTGTTGCATGCGTGCGTGCGTGCATGCATGCTGCATGCATGCACATGGAGCACCCATGGCTGTGTGGCATGCATGCATGCATGCGTGGGCGTGGATGCGGGAGCAGGCATGGGTAAATGGCCATGTTGCATGCGTGCGTGGGTGTGTGCGTGCAGGGGTGCATGTGTGCATGCGTGCGTGTGCGCAGGGGTGCATGTGTGGTACAGTTGTGGTCAACGAATTGAGAACCCCAACCACAAGGTTTGGAGTTCACCCAACCTCGCCTGTACACCCAACCTCGCCTGTACACCCAACCTCGCCTGTACACCCAACCTTGCCTGTACACCCGAATCTTGGTCTACATCTAGTGGTGTATCCTAGGAGATTAAATCCTCTCCCCTACTCCTCCAATCCCCCCTTCTCTCGTTTCCCCCATCCGCCCATTCAGAGAAATTGTGCAGTGGCAGCAATGAGGAGGGAAGTGACGGTGATGCAGCTGCTGTCGGGGCATCTCCCCCCCCTAACTCCCGCTCCATCTCTCCCCCCCACCCCCCGTTCACTCCCTCATGCACTCCTCTGTGCCGCCGTTCAGAGCAAGGGAGAAGTGGCGGCAATGAGGAGGGAAGTGATGGTGATGCGGCTACTCTCGGGGCATCGGCATGTGGTGCAGATGAAAGAGACTGTGGAAGATGACACGGTATGTGCCTCGCTGCGTGTGTGTCTGTCTGTGTGGCGATGGTGATGGCACAGTAGGCTGATGATGTGATGGCATGTGGTGCAGATGAAAGAGACTGTGGAAGATGACACGGTATGTGCCTCGCTGTGTGTGTGCGCAAGGGGCGGTGATGCGGCTGCTGTTGGGCATCCACATGTGGTGCAGATGAAAGAGACTGTGCAAGATGAAAGAGACTGTGGAAGATGACACGGTACGGGATGTGTGCGCGGGTGTGCGCGTGTGCGCGTGTGCGCATGTGCGCATGTGTGTGTGTGTGTGTGTGTGTGTGTGGTGTGTGCGCATCTCAACCACCCCAATCCCCCTCCCACCTCTCCTTCTCCACCCCCCATCTCCCCCCCTCCCCCCCACCAGCACGTACACATAATCACGGAGCCCTGCCAATCTCACCCCCCCCCCTACCCCCTTCCTTCCCGAACACCCCCCCCCCGCCAGCACGTGCACATCAACACGGAGTTCTGTGAAGGGGGCGACCTCTCCTCTCTCAACTATCCCCTACCTTCGTGTCGAGCCCCTCCCCTAAATCTCTCCTCCCCTCCCCACCAGCACGTGCACATCATCACGGAGTTGTGTGAGGGGGGCGACGACCTCTCCCCTCTCAACTACCCCCTACCTCCCAGTCGAGCCCCTCCCCCCAATCTCCACCCCCCACCACCAGCACGTGCACATAGTAGTCATGGAGATGTGCAGGGGGGGGGGGGGGGGGACGTGTGTGACCGCATCATGCAGCCAAGGCGCTCCTCCCCTCCCCTCCCCCCATTCTTCCTCCCACGCACCCCCCCACCAGCACGTGCATATAATCATGGAGCTCTGCAAGGGAGGGGACCTCTTTGACCGCATCAAGCAGCGCAGCCGCTATGAGGAGAAACCTGCAGCTGCCGTGCTGCAGCAGCTGGCGCTGGTGCTGCGGGCGTGCCACTCCCTGGGGGTCATGCACCGCGATGTGAAGCCCGAGAACCTGCTGCTCTGCTCCCCCACTGATGACGTTGCTGTTAAAGTTACCGACTTTGGGATTGCTGCGCCGATCAAATCAGGTGGGGCGATGGGGTGAGGTTGAAAGGCGTGCACGCCTCTCGGGTATGATTTGATGCATGGAGATGCATGGAGATACATGGAGATGCATGGAGATGCATGGAGATGCATGGAGATGCATGGAGATGCATGGAGATGCATGGAGATGCATGGAGATGCATGGAGATGCATGGAGATGCATGGAGATGCATGGAGATGCATGGAGGTGCATGGAGATGCATGGAGGTGCATGGAGATGCATGGAGGTGCATGGAGATGCATGGAGATGCATGGAGATGCATGGAGATGCATGGAGGTGCATGGAGGTGCATGGAGATGCATGGAGGTGCATGGAGATGCATGGAGATGCATGGAGATGCATGGAGATGCATGGAGGTGCATGGAGATGCATGGAGATGCATGGAGGTGCATGGAGATGCATGGAGATGCATGGAGGTGCATGGAGATGCATGGAGATGCATGGAGGTGCATGGAGATGCATGGAGATGCATGGAGGTGCATGGAGGTGCATGGAGATGCATGGAGGTGCATGGAGATGCATGGAGATGCATGGAGATTCATGGAGATGCATGGAGATGCATGGAGATGCATGGAGGTGCATGGAGATGCATGGAGATGCATGGAGATGCATGGAGATATATGGATATGCATGGAGATGCATGGAGATGCATGGATATGCATTGAGATGCATGGAGGTGCATGGAGATGCATGGAGATGCATGGAGGTGCATGGAGATGCATGGAGATGCATTGAGGTGCATGGAGGTGCATGGAGATGCATGGAGGTGCATGGAGATGCATGGAGATGCATGGAGATTCATGGAGATGCATGGAGGTGCATGGAGATGCATGGAGATGCATGGAGATGCATGGAGATGCATGGAGGTGCATGGAGATGCATGGAGGTGCATGGAGATGCATGGAGATGCATGGAGGTGCATGGAGATGCATGGAGATGCATGGAGGTGCATGGAGATGCATGGAGATGCATGGAGGTGCATGGAGATGCATGGAGATGCATGGAGGTGCATGGAGATGCATGGAGATGCATGGAGGTGCATGGAGATGCATGGAGATGCATGGAGATGCATGGAAATGCATGGAGATGTGAAGCCCGAGAGGCATGTTGCTCTGGTTCCCCCCGTAATGGCGCTGCTGTCACGGTCACAGATTTGGGGATTGCTACGACAATCATGCCAGGTGGGTCAGTGGGGCTGCTGCTGCTGGTGCTGCTGGTGTTGCTGGTGCTGGTTGGTACAGGTGGTGCACGTGTGGCGTGGTGTCAGGATGAAGGTGACGCAGCTGACGTCCTGCCCCCCTCCCGTCGCCCCTGTCTGTCCTGCCCCTCTGGCCCCCTCCTTCTGCCCCTTTCCCCACTTCCCCCCTTCCAGGTGCCAGTCTAACAGAGTTCATAGGGTCCCACATGTACATGGTACCAGAGCTCCTTGTCTCACATTTTCCACTCTCAACCTCTTTTCCTTTCCCTTCATCTTACCCCTTCCAGGCATCAAGCTAACGGAGTTCATAGGGTCCCACACGTACGTGGCACCAGAAGTGATCAACAAAAGCTACAGTGCCGAGGCCGACGTCTGGTCGGCCGGAGTCGTCTTATACGTCCTTCTGGCCGGCGTGCCACCCTTCTGGGCCTCCACAGAATCCGGAGCGCTGGATGCAATCGTATCCAAGCCCCTCAACTTCTCCTTCCCTCCATGGCCGTCCATTTCAAAGGAGGCCAAGGATCTCATAAAAGAGATGCTTAAGAAAGAACCGGCGGAACGAATCACACTGGAAGCTGTGCTTGGTAAGGTTACCTCCCCCAAAGAATTGTTCTGCTAAGCCTTGCTGCTCCATAAGTGTTGCCTTTCCCCTGAGCATTGCTCCGACCAACTCTTTCCTTTCTCTGCTCAACTTGTCCCCCTTATCCTTTTCTCGCCGCCCGTCGTGTCACTCCCTCAACGTTCCTTTTCAGTCAATCCAAATGTCTTATTCTAGCTTTCACATCTCCTATCCTTTCCTGTTTCCTTTTCCTCCTTAGTTCCAACCCCTACCCCTTTCCCCCTACGTTTCTTCCCTCCCTACTTCTCGTCCCCTCGTCTTCCTCTGTGTGCCCTTCCCTCTCATCCCACAGAGCATCCATGGATCAAGGCGCACACTACACAAATGTAGTAGGCTGTCATTACTGTAGCATGATTCCCACAGTTCTGTACACCTTATGGTGCATGTACGGTACATTATCAGCCCCCTCATCAGGCCAACTTGTCTGACACAGTCGAACAAGAAAGAATTCGGTATGGAACGCCAATAAAAAACCAGTGCTGCACATTTCACAACGAATGTGAACTACAGGAACCATACACTGCACTCTTCGATACCACACCCAAAAACAATACAGGAAAAATGGAAACAGTGATTGCTGCAAAGTTAACTGCAAGTGCCTTTCCTATGCATACTGAGACCGTACTGCTAAATGGCCTGTCGATCGGGTCTGGTTACCAAATTACCTGCCATCTTAATAAGCCATGCCTCACCAATGCTCTTTCAATGAGCCTTCATGCTCGACAAACCACTTGGTCGAAGGCTGTCAAGAGGAAAACCAGCAGCCGCAGCATAAGCAGCAGCAGCAGCAGCAGGAGGATAAGTAGCAGCAGCAGCTGTACCTCTGCTGCAAAAAGACGCTGTACCCAAGCCGAATGAGCCAGCAGCTGCAGCACCAGCAGGGTCAACAGGGTCAACAGGGTCAACGGGGTCAACAGCTAGACCAAAATACTACTGGTTAACAGGGTCAACAGGTATGCAGATGGGAGCTCCACAGGACAACGAAATTCTGTGATCCCCTCTCTTCTCCTTATGCCTCGCCCTTCCCTCGCCCCTCCTTCCCTTCTCCATGCCCTTTCTCGGACCCATTCACGAGCTCATTCTCAAGCCCCTGTCTCTTCACATGCCCTCACCCCTGCTCCACGCGCCCCTGCCCAAAACTTCCCAGAAAAGAAACTTCCGGCGCCCCAAGACTTTGCAGAAGGGGTGGAGCAGGGCGGGCGCGCAGGGGGGATGATTCGGAGAGGCGACACAGAGGATAGCCCAGGCGATAGCTCATGGGATTGATCAAAAGACAACCTTTTCAACCCCACAAACGCATTATAGCCTTCGAACGTTTCAGAGCCTGCAGTGCCTGAGAAGGTTACCGATGGCGCCGTGGGGTGCTGCAAGAACGACTTTTGACGCGCCTCAAACAACGGTGCCATGGCGTGCTGCAAGCTGCCGTCGCACGAGTGCGTTCGGCGGCGCTGCTGCTGCCGCCGCCGCTGCTGCCCCTGCCCCTGACGCTGCTGCTGGCCCTCGTAGTGGCCACTGCTACTACCAGCAACCGGACCAGCAACGGGTGTTAAGGATGGCGGTGGAAGAGCAGGCACGGTGGCGGCGGCGGCGGTGGTAGTGGGGGCAGCGATGGCGGGGGCAAGACAGCCGAAGGGGCCGGCAGGAGCGACACTGCTGTCATCATCTCTGCAAGCATCTCTCCTCAACGGACCGCCAGGATTGCTCCACGTCTGGTGCTGCCCGCCTGCGAGCCAATCCCAGTCGTCTGGGTCGTCGCCCAGATCGTCCCCGAGTCGCAGGAACGCAGGCTTAAAGCCCTTGAGGCCGGAGGACTCACTGAACCGCGCAGAACCGAAGACTACTGGCTTTGGTGAGCCAGCGGCAGGCTGAGCGGTTGTGGGAACGGACTGAAAGCTCTTAAAGCCTGTGGGGTCACGGCGGCTGCTGCTACTGCTGCTGCTGCTGGTGTCTCTTTCCTCTGAAACCGACGTGGCTGAGAAAGACGTGGCTTCCACTGGTATCGCGTCGTCCTTCTTAGAGCCTCCTGCCATGCTGCCCGCCTCAATCGCCGCCGCGCTACGAGCAGTAATGGTGCCACTGTTACCAGTAGTACGACGAGTGGTCGTAGTACTACCATCCCCAATTGACTTGACGGAACTCACGCCTTTCCCGCTTGCGACCCCCGGTTTCGCCAGCAGCATCGTATCCAGGCTCCCCGTGCGACGGTGCCTGCGGCCCTGCGCCGCCTTCGCCTGGTCGTGGGCGAGCCCCTGTGCGACGACCTGCTCCCTGTCGTCGGGGTCGTCGCTCAGATCGACTCCCAGTCGCAGCAAGGCCGGGAGGAACACGGAAGTCGCAGGAAAGCTCGAGGAAGGAGGCGGGGAGATAGCGGCAGCAGGAGACGCACCACCAGACCTACTGGTAGTATCGCGGCTCATAGTAGCGTGAGAATAGTAGACAGTAGTACGAGTAGCACTGGTATGACTGCTGCTTGTAGGTACGCGGCAAGTTGAAGGTCTGTTCGTGGTGGTAGCGGCACCGAGACGAAAGAGAGGCGACATTGCGACGTCGCAGGCGACAGCACGGCCCAGGTCGCCGTCGAGGTCGCCTCCAACGCTCACCGCTCGTCGCCGACGATCAGTCGCAGCTGCCGCACGCGTCGCACGAGTCGTAGCAGGTGTCGTCAGGGCTGCAAGACTCGGCGCGCTTTGCACCGGCTGACCGTCTTTGAGAGCGCCGCCTTTCCGCGGGCTCTTGAGGTTCGTTGGAGCACCCGGGACGGCAGTCCCAGAATTAATTTCTCGCGACGCATTATGATTCGCAGCCTTCCCCGCCACCTTTCCCATCCTTTTTTCCGGCTCTTTCCGCGGCGCGTTCGGGTTCTGAACCAGACAAGACCCGCCAAGTCTGCCAAAAAAATCTTCCGAGGACCAGTTGAGACCACTCGGGTCTGACCCGCCGAGCAGACGCATCGCGGGAGTGAAGCCCGAAGGTCCAGCCAGCAACGGAGGTAGGGCCGGCATGATGGTGCTGCCACTTGCTGTGGTAGCAGCCGTTGTCGAGTCGCAGAATGACTCAATAGGGAACTCGATTGGAGAATCATCTGAAGTCTCGTTAAACGGCGACATATCATTCGGAGACGAGTCGTTCGTTGAGGCGCTCGAGGAAAGCGATCGCCGTGACGGCAGTGGCGGCCCGGGGACGTCCGGGGCCCATGGCGTCTCACACCTTTCAGACGTGTCAAAAGGCGTCGTCTCTCGTTCGGGCCGCGCATTTCGACGAGCCGCGGATTCCGAGTGCCGCTTGGAGTGCCACTCCGAGTGGGAGGTAACGGCGATGGAAGCCGCGCACTTTTCGGTGGTAGAACTGCTAGACAGGGCACGGACGGCAGATGTCGTAGCCATGATGAGGCCACGCGCCGCGGGATAGTCGCGTGATCTACAGGCGATAGCCGGCGCGATGAGTGCTGTGCCGCGATCGACGGCGGGAATTGGTAGCGCTGTGTTCTGGGACTGTGCACACGGGGTGATGATTCTGAAATGTTCCGTGGAAATGCTTCGCCTTGTAGTATATGTCACTACTAACTTGCTGGACTTTGTGTGGGAGGGGGCAGGGCGCTGAATAATATTAGGCTGCTGCTAGTTTCTGGAAAGAAAGCCACGGCCTGGCCTCGCGGATATGAGGGGGTAATATAAACACTGTTGCCTGGAAATCTGGAAAAGGAGGTCGGCGGGGGGTGAGAAGAGAGGCTGCTCCGCGAGTGGCAACGTGCGGCGGTGCGCGGCGATAAGAATTCTTGTTTTTCTCTCACTCGTGACGTATCCCGTGACTCGTCGCCGCGAAGCGCCTCGTAAATCGACTGCAGGAACGCGGAACACTGCGCGTGAAAAGAACCCCTCAGTCTTGTCATTCATAGCTGTTAGTGGTGGATGGCTGCACAGGTGGATACACTGTAGACCCACTTATTCGTTTCATGCACCCGCGATTGTGCACCGGCTCGGTACGTTCACATAGAAGGTTGGGAGCAATGCGTTTATGTCACATAGAATCGATTCACACGCGTGATCAGTTCAGCATTGAGTTGCTAAATGTTGAAGAAAATTGGTGGCAGAGCACTACAGTTACACGCATTCACGCTAAAGACGAGGCCAAATTTATTAGTTATGATTAGGTCAGGCCGGCCTACAGTCGCAAATACGTATTTATAGCCACATTTTGGGAGCAGGGGACGGTAATACGCAGGGAGATGTGACTCGCAGACGTTAAAAGCACTGGGAAAAAATGACAAGCACCTCCGACTGAGAAGCGCTTGGTGAAATTAACGAATAAGTATGTGAAAATTGGATCGAACAGACAGTCAGTTAGCCACCAGGGCGACGGTCCCTCTCAGCACCAATTTGAGCTACAGTCGATGCTCACCTTATCCCGTGTCCAAAGGTCATCCCTTCGAAAAAACAGTCACTCGCGACCGTTTTGCCTGTGAGTGACTGAATTGAGCGTTGTGGTACAGTCACAAAGTTGCATGAAGACGCGCTCAAAGTGCAAATATCGCAGGATCGTCTGCATATTGACCCCACAATTGAGTAGGCAGATTGTTTGGCGAAACGAGGCGACCGCAATGTTGTAACGATCGCGGCTGAAAATTGACAGATTTCCCGCAAACAGTGATCATCGCATTCTCACACTGTACAAACATTTTGGCCAGAAAGCGTTTTGTAGCATAGTTACAACGTAGCTAAAAGGGTAACGGATCAACACATTGATCGCCACTGACGAACGATCGTTTACTTAAACCACGTCGTAAGAAAAACATCTTCAGTGCATAAACAACAACGGCTGCCCGTCATCAGAAATGTTTACCTGGTTACGAGCATAAAGCCCTAGTCTTGATTCACATTCCTATTTCATGTTACAGTCATATTTTTTCCCGTGGCGACAAGGACGAAAGTGGCGAAATTCATCGAAATCGTTTCACGTCTAGGCCGCCCGCCTACCTAGTGTTCTTGAAATGAGCACCGACTGTACACGAGAATTCGAGGAGGAGAGACATCCGAGTATCCGAGCTGTAACAGATGGCGGCTGCGTGGCCCAGAATCTGAAGGCGAGGCAGGGCAGAGGCAGTGGGGAAGAGGTGCTGGCTAAGTTGGGTTTGTTTGGTGGGAAAAGGGAGACAGGGGGCGGAAAGGCCGTCGAAGTAAGTTCGGGAAGAAAGAAAGTGTGAGGGACGGGGGGAAGGTATGTGCTGGCTACCTGGTTATGAAAAAAATTCACATTTCATCCTGGGTTCGACTTGGACACTCCAATTTGCCTGTAGTACCAACTTTAATGTGGGATGTCGCTTGAGAATAATCCTATTGAGTCGCACTGCTTGAGTAAACCGTGTGGCTAAATATGAAAGTATCTGGAAAACCAAGCAGCCAGCATATACTTTCCCGGGGACGGGGTGGAGAGGAGGAAGGGAGGGAGGGTAGTTGATATGCGTCGCTGTGGGAAAAAAGAGGCTGTCAGCAATGTTGGAATCAAATCAATTTCTCCCACGTGAGCCAGATCGAGAGGAGGCTTGAGCGGAAAGCGTTGCAGGTTGGCAATTTCGAACGACAGCAGCTCGCGGCGCGAAGTCTCGCAGCGCACTGTCCACAGTCCACGTTGCGATATTTACGACGTCGTCATCGAGATGTGCGACGCAATGGAAATGCACGATGGACGAATCCCTGCGAGCTATTACACGAAGTGGCTGGACACTTATCCGACGAACGCATCACAGTCGGAGAAAGCGATAACGAAACGGTGTATGCCAGCTGCGAACGTCGTCACACCCAATTGCGCCAGGTGCCGAGAATCGCATCCTCCTTGACCAGAGACTTGTTGTACCAGTCAAGAACCGCCACCAGCTGTCCGCCATTCTTGAAAGTCCAATTTACAGGCTCTGTCCACGATTTCGTAAGAGACTTCCGTCTTGCCTTTTCTTCCTATCTCTGCTCTCGTCAGGTCTAGATGCAGGTGTTAATGCAACATAGCTACACGTAAAAACGTTCACAATGCCACACATGTTCCTTGAAAGTGTTGTTTTCAAAGGATCTTATTTGGGACAGCAAGTAGGTGATCACTTCGTTCAAGAATTATAATATACACAAATACAGGTGTTGTGTTGGAGTATAAAGGGAATTGCACTTAGCATTCCCGCAGGTGCAGCAGTATCGCATCAATCTCTATTGAAGCAACGCTAGCAGCAATGTCGGATCAGCCCGTACCAAGGGCAGGAAGGTCAACAGTCGCAAAGTCAACCGTCTCGACTGTTGACCGTCTGGACCGACGCTTGACTCACCAGCGAATAATGGCAACAGACGTAACCATATATACAAATTACATGCAGCAACTCGATAACAAGAAAGAAAGTGCAATAGTTATAGTCACTGTAGAGATACATGTTAAGCAGTTATAATAAGGAAATGTACCCCTTATAGTACATGGCTAGTTAGGACTATTTATATCATTTGTATTCTATCTTTTAATCAACTTGGTCATCTACATTCACTATGATCTGAGTTCTTACAAAAAGACTTCCGCTACCAATCTCTTCCAAAGCATTCCTATCCTATCCAAGATCCTCACTCTGACATGGTATGAGAGCTAGTTTGGATTACAGGATCTGCAAAAGGGGCTTCCAACAAAAGCTTCTTCATAAATAAATCTCAATACAAACAACATAAAGAGCATCAACATGCCAGGCGCAGACTGCGGAGAGGGTGGAGAAAATCCAGTGCAACCCTCCACCAATGTCGCCTCTACTACGACGACTGTGGATACAGCGCTCCTCGAGCAGCTGATCTCCCGCATCAGCGCACTGGAGAGTCATCAACCGATGAGCATTGACGGCTCCGGCTACGCCCGCAAACCTCCCGATCCTCAAGGAGCTGGATCTGAGCGATCCTTCACCTTTAACAACCGCGGAGCTCAAGGATCTGCTCAAGCACAACAAATACATTACGAGGCAATGGCATCAATGCAGAGCAAGTTCCTTTCAACATCGAAGTTGAGGACAACCAAGCCCTTCGACGGCAAGACTTCTATACCTGGAGCTTCGAATTCGAGCTACTAGCTTGGGGCGCTCAAATCTCGATGTATTACGACGGTTCGTATCCCTTCCCAACAAACTTCTTGTGAAGAATGAAGAACGAAGAAGAGAGGAGGATGGATTGCACTAGCAGCAGTTGGCATACATATAGGAAACCCTAATTGGGTTGTACTCGCTATCGAATACCCCACTGCAGACTAGAGAAACATAATATTCTGACAAACCCCCATAGTCAAAGTGGGGTGTAATCAGCACAACAAGCAAAGCAGAACAAGCTCAGGGTGGATCACAATGTCACCACACATTCTGAGCACAAGTACAAGAAGCAACAGTTTAAAGTTCACAAATGTAAGCAAAGCTAGAGGCTATCGCAGAGGGCAAGTGTGGAGGAGGAGGGACTATGAGAGGAGAAGAGGTAGTGGGCGGCAGCTGAAGCTGCTGGCACACAGCGCAACTGGAGCAACTGGCACACGGGCAACTGGAGCAACTCGCACACTGGCAACTGGAGCAATTGGCACACGGGCTACTGGACTAACTGGCTCCGCGGCTAACTCTGAGCGGTAGGAGCAACGGACTCACGGGCAACTGGAGCAACAGGCTCACTGGCGACTGGCGCAACGGGCTCATGGGCGACTCGCGTAACGGTCTCACGGGCGACTGGAGCTACAGGCTTCACGGCGGCGTCACCCCTTCACGGGGGAAGGGGGGGGGGGGGGGGGGAGGGGGCCGACGCGCGGCCTCCCAGGGCGCCAAAGCAGGCGGCAGAAGGGGCGACGCTCACCCCCCCCCCCCCGGGCGGCCCCCTCAGGTCGCCTCGACAGGCGACGGGAAAAGGGGGGGTGGGGTGGTGCACGGGTCCCCGGTGCGCCGCGCTAGGCGACGAAGCATGGCCGGGGCGGGGCCGGGGCAGGGTCGGGGCCGGGGCAGGGTCGGGGCAGGGCCGGGGCAGGGCCTCGATAGGGGCAGCGACGGGGCCGCTAAGGGCGGCGACGGGGTCGGTAGAGGTGGCGACGGGGCCGCGAAGGGCGACGGGGCCGCTAGAGGCGGCGACGG